TTTGTGCTGCGATCCGTATAAATCGTCGTTTATCTTTTCAGGAAGTTGTTGACGGAGCGACATCTCCATAACATTATGCCATCAACTTTTGAGTGATAAACTTACGAGGCATTGTATCAGTGCAAAATCCGTGACGCGTTTGTTTGACGGTCAGAAATAGTGTAAACGATAAATTCACTTTAGGCTCGAATGCCTCGTAAAAACTCCCGGGTTCAATTACGAAAGCTGACCGAGGCCTTGACTACGGTACTATTCAAATACCTCAACGGTACCCATTCAGTCCTAAAACGACCGGGCATTTGCAGGGCACAGAAAGAATGCAAATCACTGCAGTTACCACCATACAACAAAATCACACAATACAGAGTCCGCGACGGGAATCCTACCATTCCCTTATGGGTCCAGTAGCCCTACGCGATTTTTTCGCTTTACTACGCATACGGTGGTGAGTCTACTGTGTTTCGGGGCAAATAGATACAGCAGGAATAACACGGGGAGATGACACCCTGTGACTGGAGAATGGCTCAAGTCCTCATGTGTTGTGATAGGTTGGCAAGTTACACAGTATACAAGCGTTCCAGGAGTCCTTCCAAAAATTGCAAGCACCGTTAGAAACAGTGTATTGTCAGAATTGGAGACTACTTTTAGCACGATAGTGCTTACAGTGTTGTACCATGAGCAATAAAGCTGTTACAGCAACAGTTCGGTTCCCTTTTAAACACACCTCGCAGAGTGCATCAACCACAGAAAAGCGCCTAGTGGGAGTGAAGCCAATCTACTGATCGACCTGGTAGTATTTGGGTATTGATAAATGCAGCGTGAGATGAAACGTTGGTTTTCAAATGCGAGATAACTACATCTTTTGCACTGGTAACAGGATTAGATTTACTTCGGGACTGCAACTTAATAGCAGAGAAATGGCACAGGAGGGAAAAGAACATTCGCGTTGGAGTCACGTATGATTTGATACTCCCGGTCGCCCGTTTCGATGGCTGTTTTTTTAAGTCCTCATTCCCAGCATCCCACTTCTCTCCATGGTCCTCACTTAACGATGCAAATGGATACAACGAACCTTTACTTGAGCTTCTCTCCTCACTTCTCAGGTCTAATAGGTTCGAGATTTCGGTTCCTCATAATAACCATTTTACTAATGTCCCGACCACGTTTTATTTATTTATTCGCTTATTTCACCGCGAATGTGTAATCTCTCTAACTATTTCGACTTTCTTAATCGGTCTATCCAGGCCTTGTGGTTTAGACATCTTAAGCAAAGGTCCTCCTGTTCGTACTGGTTTTACATTAGTTCTCCCCTGAACGAACCACGACAGTGTACACCAACATACGCTATGATAATCAAACCTTGTATTTATGAATACTGAATACTGAATACTGTATTATAGAGCAAGTAGAAATGGATTCTGTACAACTCTTTCGAAATATTGTGAAAAACATAATAGTTGTCAACCGTGAATATCCTTGTCGTTCTCATGTAATATTTAAAATATTCGACTTACGATATTTCAGGATTCACAAGTGTGATATGTCATCGTAAGTATGCAGGCGTTCTCTGAATCGAATAGAGGCAAAATGCAAATCTAACAACGTTTTGAACTGTTGCACAGATGTTGCCACAATCACATGTTCTGGCAAACTATTCCAAATGTTTACCACTCTCCGTTCGAAGCACAGTGGGTGGGGAACACGTTTCATATCCGGCACAACAAGTTTGTATCTGTGTCCGCGTGTGCTGCATGGCCCTCGTAAGTGCAGCATTGGCCTTAACATGGGGAACTCACCGAGATGTAGAATTCGGTAGGTCATAATGAGGTCGACTCGTACCCGACGGTAGGACAAGGTGTAGAGTCCTAGTTTCTGGCACCGGTCTTCATACCTCAAGTCACGTAAACTCAGGATGAGCCTGGTAACAACGTGTTGGACCCGTTCGATCTTTTGTGCCTCGCCTCGGGTAATCGGAAAGTAGGCGGGCGAACCGTACTCTAGCATTGGTCTAATGATAGAAGAGAACAGGCGAGTGGCAACCTCTTCAGACCATGTGCCGAAGCTACATTTGAGCGCCCAAAGCATGCGCAGTCCGCTACGAAATAGCCTGTTCGTGTTGTCCACGGACTTCAAATCGTAGCGTGAGAGTACACCTAGGTCCTTCACGGAGGGTGTGGGATATAGCGTTTGGCCGTCAAGGGTGTAGGTTCGGCCGTTAGCACCCTTCCCCAGGCTCATAAATACCGACTTGGCTGGGTTGACCGGGAGAAGAACTTCTGCAGACCATGTGGATAGGTGGTTGAGATCTTGCTGAAGTAGGCCACAGTCGTCGGGAGCGTCGATTTCTCTCCAAATCTTCATGTTGTCCGCAACCAAAGCACACGGCGACCGGAGACGCTGCGGTAGATCGTTGATATGGATCAGGAACAAAGTGGGCCCCAGCACAGTGCCTTGAGGCACGCCACTTGTAGATTGGTACCACTCAGTTAGATGGTCGTCGACCTGTACTCTCCACTTTCGTCCAACAAGAAAGTCGCGGATCCACCGGTGCAGTGAGCCACCGACGCCACACATGCTGAGTTTGTGAAGGAGAACCTCATGGCTGACCTTGTCGAACGCTTTACTGAAATCGATGAATATCACGTCGACGGACTTCCCCTTGTTTATTGCCTTCAACCACTCATGCCTCGTCACAAGCAGGTTAGTAATGCATGAGCGACCTTGCATAAAACCGTGCTGTGCGGGCGTCAGGACCTCGTTTGACTGTAGCAACTGCAGCAATCTCTTTTTCACGATTTTCTCAGCAACCTTTGCCAATATAGGTGTCAGACAAATTGGCCTGTAATTGTCTACTTTGCTAGGGTCGCCGCCTTTCGGAATAGGCTTCACCACCGCACATTTCCAGTCAACCGGCAACGAACCTTCGGAGAGTGACCTGTTGAAAAGGTCAGTCACGATAGGAGAGAGGATGGTTGAAAGTGACTTGAGAACCAGTGGGTGAAGCCCATCAGGTCCGGCAGGTTTGGTGCCGTCAAGGTTGGCGAGTAGTTGAGCTACCTCTTCGACGCCGCATTGCAGACTATCGAGTTCGGTAAAAGCGGTACACGTCGAACTCGGAACAGACACCTGGTTATTCGCAAATACAGAAGCGAAGTGCGCCGCCAACGCGGACGCACGCTCAGTGCTGGAGGTTAGGGGCTGTCCATCCGTGCCATCCAGCACTGGCACATCACCTGCCGGCTTCAGGCGTCGCTTCACGTATGCAAAGATTCTCTTTGGGACGGTCTTCGCGGCTAATGCGAGCTGCTCTTCAAAGTGTCGGCGTTTATTCTTTTTTGCACTGTTGCAGAGATTCCGCTGACATTTATACCCTTCGTAATCATTGGCAGAGCCAGAGAGAAGGAATTTGTCCCGCAGTCTGCGCCGCCTCCGAGCCAGGTTTCCATACTCCTTATCGAACCAATGAGGCTTAATCGGTCCAACCTTTCGACATTTCAATGGCAGAAATTGGGAACACAATGATGTCAGTCTCTCTTATATAAATATCCAACAATCTTCCACAGATGCAGTTTGTGACAGAGACCAATCCAGTTGGCTCACGGCTCGAGCAAGACCATCGAAGTCGGTTTTCCAGTAGTTGGGAGCTGGTTGCAGCGGATGTGAATACGGCAAAGATAATTCCATATCAGCTATCAGTACTGAGTGGTCGCTGGTAGCCAGGGGCTCCAGAATCCTAACGTCACGCACTCGTTGTTCGTAGCTCGTTAACATCAGGTCGAGACAGGACGAGGTTGAACGTGTTGATATGCGTGTTGGCTGGCATATGTGTTGCGATGCACCAGTTTCAAGTACCAAATCCACGAACTTTGCTTCAACCTCACTGTGTCCAGGCATCAAATGCACATCAGGCCATCGTATTCGAGGACAGTTTAAATCGCCCATAAGCAGAAAGTGTGGACGACTCATGTGGGTCCGAAGATGGGGCAGCCAATCCAAACAACGACTCAGGGGACTGCGATAAACTGCGCCCACAAGCAGTTCTCCGCGCCTGAGGCGGATGGAGCACCACAGTAGCTCACACAGGCCATCGTCACTTCGGTAGGTGCTCACAAGTCTCCCACGCAGGGAAGACCGGATGTAAAGTAAGACACCACCGTGGGCATTCTTTAGTCTATCGCATCGGAAACACGAGTAACCGTTGAGTTCAAGTTCTTGGGTGTATAACTCTGCGTGCAGCCATGTCTCTGCGAGTCCCACTACGTCTGGCCGCTCAGACGCAACGAAACAACAAAGCTCATCGCGCTTATTCATAATACTGCAAACGTTTGTGAACGCTACTCGCAGGCCGCAGCAGGAGCCACCGGGCGTGCTTGAAGTGTGAGCAGCCTGTTTATCCTGATTCGCGGATTGTTGGAAACCACCCGAAAATTTACGATACGAAGATTTGTTTCCCCCTCACCAGTGCGTCTTTTCAACTCAATGATGGCAGACTTGAGCCGCTCCCTGTCTACTGGGTCCAGGTCGGGACGAACATGGATCTTCAAACCTTTCAGCCTACTTAGGCGAGACATGATAAGTCTTGGACTGGCTTCGTCCACAAAAGTGATTCTCATAGGCCGATTTTATTGATCACCTTGCTTTCCAAGACGGGTAATCTGCCTCACTTTTACCGAGTCCTCACCAGCGTCGAGGAGTCTATCAATTAGACCCTGAGTTTAAGTTGTTTGAATGGTAAAATTTCAGTCGTTGATTTCCGGCCTGTCGAGTGTTCTTATATCGCGTGGTCAATTTTCATCTCCCTGATGGTTATTCGTGCCCCCGTCATAGGGCGTGTGTTCTTCCACAATGAGGAGCAGCGTATGGCCATCTCACTTGCAATAACTCATCCTCTTCCTTTTTAGCGCTGAACCTGTTACTTTTAGGATTACACAACAGCCTTGCTTTACCTCAAGCCATGATGGCAGATGCGATTCACTTTTTTACTTTTTTTCTTTCCATAGATGTAACAATTGCATCGGAGCCGAAGAATCGCAAGCGAGGACGTTCAAATGTAAACGCCAACTTGCCCACCTGGTAGACTTTCGTACCTCATTCATTATCTACTCTTATATTTATTTTAGGACCAGCCTACCCAGGTATGCGAATGTGGTGTGACGGTAAATCGATGTGGTTGTGGGGGAACCTTGTTTTTCTGCTCCTCCTGTGCCTGAATTTTTGGCCTCTTTCTCCCAGTGCAGCTTCTTTGTGACAATGATGTCTCATCGCCAACCAATCTTCTTTTCCACTCCCCTTTACTCGTTTTTGAGCCGCTCCTTGCAGCTAGTCACATTTTGTCTATGAATTCCGCACTGAATCTGTCCTCGTCGCTACTTCATTAGCGACGCTCCTCCCTTCAGCGGTTTTATGAGCGTTTCAATTGATCGAATTTTTTATCTAATGGAGTGGCTCGCCAAACCCCCTCCCGCTCTGTTATCTGCCTCTTTTCCATCCGTGGAGTTTGTTGTCGATCGGCTGTCACTTGCAGTGGATCATTTCTTGTGACTGCTCTTCCAGTTTTTTCCTTTTGATCGTACAATTGGCACGTGACATCTTAGTCGTTTGTCTGTCTGTTGCTACTCCGATTTCCTCGGAATGTTAGCGTTGTCTTGGTCCAAACCATAACCGCTGTTCAGATGTGAATACGGCTGCCTTATTTAAGGCTCTGTCTACTAGCCACATGTACGTGTAAATCCCCATTTTGTTACCGTGCGCTTTGATTTTGATTGGGCAGCGAAATTTGGTTAAAAGTGCGCTGACCACGCGTGGTTTCACTGCATCGACCTATTTTGGAGCAGCACACGCTACTTAAGTAGTTGCAATTCATTGAAATTTTCGCAATCTGGATTGAGCACCTGTGGATGCTATCCATCTTCGCAGCGACAGCATTTCATTCTATTAGACCTAGCGTCGTCATTTTGCTGCTATGATTGCTTATTTTCCACCGCCTGTTTCCGCGACACTTTTCCAATGATTCTTTTCCGTCCATCTTTGTGATGCGCCAGCTTTTCATTGGCTGCTTCCGGCAACGTATACGAAATTCCCCCAGGTCACATTTTTGTCGCGTGCACTCAGATACCGGATATTTTCTCCTACCTCTTTTTGGTTATGTTGATTTTGCCCCACTTTGAAGCGTCTCGTTCAGGCGCGCATATGCTGGTTTGCATCTCATGATCATTCTGGAATCTGCTCGTTTTCTCATGTTATAAACTTGCAGTTCCAATCTGTCGGATTTGACGCTTCAAGCCCAAACTCTTACAAACTTAGCTAGCAATCCCATCCTTTCATCTTTGCAACAACTTGGTTTGGAGGGAATTATGGGTCAGCCGAATTTCACCCAATTCGCTGCAGCCGCTTCTTCGGTTCTCGCCAACGCCAGTCAACTCGGGGGACTGGGGGTCGTCCCTACTTCGACTCATGCTATGGGCGCACGCTCGAAACACGTTCGTTCGACAAATCCACAAAACTTTTCTCAGTCCGGTCCAACAGTGCATTCCTCTTCCTCTTCTGCTAAGCGCACACGCCTTGAAGGTGGAATGAATAGCGCTAATAACCAATTTGGCACCACTGGTGGTCACGGTTCTCTCCCCGCCGGTGCCCGTGGACAAAATCTGGTGTCTTTGGTATCTCCTTCAGATGGTGTTCATAGTCAGCAGAAATCCGGTACTTTTAGAACTACATTGACATCAAACAAGACTTGCGGACCGAACCACCCAGCTCCTGCCTCATCTCGAACGGTCAGCTCTTCTACCCCCTTATCAGTTAAGATGGAAAAGAAACCACAGCATACCCCCACTTCCGTGGCGAAACCGTTGCAGCCCTCGCCCTCTAAAACACCAGTTAGCGAACCGCACCGTGCCTCCCCCGAGACAGTCTCCGGTAATTCATCTACTTCAGGTGAGTAGATGGTCTCTTTCTTTGGGAGGGGATATGTGATACCGTATTAAACTTATTCAAAAAGCATTTATCAATTAGCCACAATATAATAGAACATCATCGATCTTTCTTTCCTCATGTTTCTCTGCCTGAACTTACGACACATGCTCAGTATGCACTCAGCTACAGTGAGCTGCCTGTGACTTCAAATGCATCCCAATTGTAAAATTTCCCTCATTCAGATTGCGGATCTGTGACCTAGACTGATGAGATTGGTTTGATTCTCACTGACCTCTTGTCCAACTCGGTTCATATATATATATATATATATATATATATATATATATATATATATATATATATATATATCCGATGGTGTCTAACCACTGATGTTGACCATCCCGGGGCCCCCATCCACAAAGATACACACAAGTGCCTGATCAAGTTTCTCAGTCAGTTTCTTAAAACCTTTACGCTAAGTCATGAACTGGCCATCTCATGGTTTAACCAAATTTGGTGCAGCGACGGCGTATGATACCCGTCGACTAAACCGGTCAACAGGTGTACAAAGTAACGCTCAGTAAACGTGGGCGCTTAAGATTCAGCAAACACTTAAGTAAGGCACTCAAAGGGTTCTACCCAAAAACTACTGGTGCACAGCATTGCTCTCCCGACACTCCCACCAGACGTGAGCAATACTCCCGAAGCACCGGTGATCAGACACGGCCAAGCATATAATTTCTTCATTGCGAACTGGCCAGGTCTTCGATCCATGCACTAAGATCGGCCTTATCGTAGCATTATACACCCTGCCTTTTACTGCCAAGCTAAACATATGAGGGCTTATGAAATCGCCTAATAGGGTAGTAGAAATCCTTGTGGATACCGGTTTATCTCATTTTTGTCACTGTATTGTTTACCTGTTCACAATGAGCAGTTCCATGGACTCTTTCACATTTGTCTTTGTTGTCCGTTAGTGGTTTTGGGGCATCATCCCTTTTTCTATCTCCCCATTTATTTCCATCTGCTTTATCAGTTACGATCGCAGAGATCGAATCGACCAAATTTTATTTCAATGCGAGTTGCGCCCTACTTTGAGCTTGTAGGTCGCAATCTATTCACACAAGTGCATTCAAAAATTAGCCCTGGAACCAGCCACTAACCGTTGTGACAAGAGTTGCAAGTTGTGTCTCGGTGGCTGATGGGTAGAGGTTTCAGTTAGCATTCCAATGGTCTCTAGTTTATTCTATGCTATTTCTATCTCTTGTGATGAAATGACATCGACACGCATCCTGGAGTGCAGTATTTTTGGACTGGCAACACCCAATATTCATACGTCAAAAGGAAGACTGCGAAGAAATTTCTTTCCGATAAATATCATCAGGCAATTACTATTATGCGATTCATAATCATTGATTTAGTACTTATTGCTAGCGATGCAATGTCGTGAATACTGCGACCGGAGGAACGGTGGCCATCGATGTCCATTTGAACCCACTACCATTGACCACTGTGACTGAAATCAGCTGACCGGGCTATGGCCATTGTAAGGTTAAACTTTGTGCAAGTACACGCTGTTTACACGGTTCCGGCTCGAGTTTCTTGATCGCAATCGCTTTTTCTGTGGCCAGTAGGCGCTTCCTGAGTCACCTTTGGCAGCATTTTGATGCTACATATACTATTTTGAGGGTATCTTTCGTTTGTATGTCATGTCCACTATCTACTAGGTGTTTTAGGACGGAGCTGTGGACATTCCTAGTAGCACCACACTGTAATGAGACAGGACAGTGTTTCCGCTATCCGCTTGGACAGGCGTCTGGTCGTGTGTCCGAGGTACTTCGCACTGCAGGTGCAAGTAAACTGATGTGGAACAAAATATTTGGACTGTGCCAGAATTCTGTCTTTTAGGCGGTTGGCGATGAGTGGAACGGTTCTGGCTTGAATGCGGACGTTTGGTTCAGCACGGAAATCAATTACTCAAGAGCTCGAACTGTATGTCCCGTTTGAAAGGTACTGAGAGGAAAATCTCCTAACTTCTCACGGTCATTTTTGCCTCAGACTCAGCTCGGACTTGGGAATGCTTTTTGATGCAGGCAGTTGGATACCCGTTGCTTTCCAATGTCTTGAGTATGCATTTCTTTCCCGCTTCCAGCGTCTTTAGGCTACCAATCCTTGTAGCTCAGTAGTACAAGCACTACCAAGTTTCACTTCTACTTTGTCGGTATGAAACTATAGAAATGCATGTACTAACCTATCCAGATCGACCGTTCTGGTTCGTAGGACTGAGGTTACCAAAATGGCTGATTTTGTCTACCAGAGCTTCCTAAGTATTGTTGTATCTTGTTCTGAAGCCTCATTATGCTGTCTGTCCAACTGGAACTGTTCAGACACCAAACATGCTTGCAGATTTTAGTGACCAATTGTGGTATTATAAGTGAGATGTACATGTCCCGGGGTTCACCGTCTTCCTAACTGTTGGGCATCAGGACGTGGTACCTTGGTGGCTAAGCACCTTATCTGTTTCTTGTGTGTGGTGGCAACACCGAGTTCACAATGATGACGTTAGACGTGGCGTCATAGAAAAACGAGTATTTCCTTCAAAATGCTGCTTTTGCTGCACCAGTTGAGTGATATCAGTCCTGTTCTACGCATGGCGACTGAGCTTTTGCGGCACTGCGCTCTGTTCGATCGTTCAAGATCGGACTGGATGCGACCGCTTAGTGGTCAAACTTCCATATGGAGACAGCACGTGAAATCGCTGACGTTACATCTCGCCGCTGTTGGACACCTGTACGTCTTCCTGGAAAGATGAACAATACCCGTGCAAAAACCATATACACGCTTGTATTGGATCACTCGTTCGATGTCTGGGGGCATTAAAAATGAGGAAAAGAAAGAAAACATCTGCGTATGAATACCATAAAGAAGTGTTACGTACTAGTTTTGATCAAATTATACTTCCCTTTGATTCGCATGGTTTTTCGATGTCTTCTTGTACACTTTTTGACTGGCGGTTTCGGGTTCGCATATCACTTTCACCTCCATTGGGAAAGTCACAGGACGCCTGCGCCTGCAGAGGGATTATGGGGGGGGGGGGCTTGCGCCGCACTGCCTGCAATTCCATCTACACGCCACAAATAAGACTGAGAGGCATGTGTGGGGAGTCACATTTCATCAGCGGTGCTGACCCACACTCCTTCAACAGAGCAGAGCAGAAGCATTCATGCCTAATTGGGAAACCATGCGTACCAGACGTACGCAAGATGGTGGTTGTGTCGTAAACTGTTCCACACTGGGTGGAACCACTTTGAGCCTAGCACGGCCACGAGGACCGTGCACCCTGTCCCGTCTAGCAGCGACTAACTATTTGTTCGAGCCAATAGTGACGAGGTGGAGGATAGGTAGGTATCCTGTGAACATTCATCTCAAGCGCAGCTGCCCCAAGGCAATCAATCAACAACCAACCCCTGAAACGCAAGAAACTCAACAGGTAGGCACACACGCACACAAACCAAATGCAACTGTGGTGCAGCACATTTATCACATCAGCTGCCTTATTGGCCTGGGTTAGTAAATCGAATGAATGCGGACGCAGCGCACCTACCAATCATTGCGCTGATATGCTTAACTAATCAGGTGACTCGTCATCTTTTGCATGCTGCTCCCATGGGGCTCACAAATTTCCTTTGGCTCAGGCACTCGCGACCGCATATGCCACAGCTCCACCAGTTTAACGTCGATAGGACTGATTCCATCGACGCCTGTCGCTTACGTACTCGGTTTTCCTCCTCTGCATATTATACTTTGCTGCACCTGGGCAACCGCCCACTTAGTCAGCTCACACTATTCGCGCCGCTTTATATATATATATATATATATATATATATATATATATATATATATATATATATATATATATATATATATATATATATATATATATATACTCTGATGTTTCGCCATCGCTAAGGCATTCTTATGTATAATCCTCTTCCGTCTATTTTGTCCACTTGCTCTGACAATGGTAATTTTTTCGATTTCCTCTTCTTCTTGATAACTCACCTCGGCCTATTGAATAGCTTCTCAGAACAGGCTGGTGATCCTGTCCTTGAGCTGTCGTCCTCTATGTATTAACCACAGATTCACATTTGCGGTTCTGCATTCTACATTACACTACTATCGTTTCTACTTTTCTTTTGTGACCATGAGGCTGCCTTAAAAGGCAAAGGCATCAGTAGTACGCTGGTGCGCAGTACCGACGCTTCGATGCCGCGCAACCACCACCGGTGGTACGTGGACCAAGGATGTTGCGAAGGGCACCCTTCCCCTACGCAGACTCGAATCCGCGCCCTTTGGATTGCAACACAAGCTCGTTACCTTTATGTTACGGGCCGGCAAGCAATGCGTTCGGAAAATTGCGTGGAACCATGTGCGCAGTCATCTTCACGCCCTGTGCGGTTGAGACTCTCACGATTCTTTACTCCGCTTACATTATTCAGCTAACCCGCAACTATACAAGTGAAACTCGTTTCGGAGTCAACTATGAAGACGACATGCATAAGACAGCGATAGGCGTCTCTTATGCGCCCATTTCCACATCACCTGCCAATTTTCCGTTGCTTGTAGTCACTTCTTAATACTGCCTTTAAACTTGTTGAAGTGAGCTGTGAATTCCACTCGGATGTTTGGATTAGCAAAATGTTACTGTTTTTAGCTTTGGACAAATATCACCCTCTAGCTTACCACCAATCACAAAGTTCGACAGCAAGTACTAAACTCACTCGCGTCGACCGGTGGCTGATTGGTAGGGGCGGGAAACTACACTGTATTTCCATCCCACACGCGACTGGTGGTTGTCGCCTAGCATCGGAACGTAAACACTGTGTGCCTAAGTGACCCATTTTGTGAATGCATTGAAGTGAAGTGAATGCATTTGAAGTGAAGGTCAATCGATTGGAACACCGGGAACATATCGGAAGCGTCGTCTACACTCCGAGTTCCATCCCCAGTTTGGTTGTGTCACTACACTAATAACTACTACTACTACTACCTATGTTGTTCTTCTTTTTCTCTTCCCTGTCCAGGGGAAGGTTTATGCTGTTAACAGCACTATCTTCCGTGAACTAGGAATTTTCCTGTTGCTAGAAATCAGCGCATCCCATTGACTAGTTTTGTGATGGAACATTTCATGGAGATATCCTCGCCGTTTTATAACAGTCAAGTCTAAACCTACTTGAAGTTGTCTTGGTCTTTTTATCGGAGTTCCTATTTCACGTAGCCTGCTACTTGCTCTACATCTTTGCTGACTCTTCTCCAAGATCACTTTGCTGTGTCCATTCCCGTTATTGTCTCATTGAGAGGGGAATTTCGACCCCTAGTCTCAACCTGTATCTTATTAACAATGCGCACACTTACGTTGCATAATTCACGATCAGTTGCCATTGTTAAAACACCAGTGCTATCATCTTTCTCTGTCTTTAGCTCGTTCAGCTGCCGAGGATATTCTTATTTGTGGAAACTGTCGTCGTCTTTTCGACCAAGTGGATGAATTGATTTCTCACAAAATGGCCGGGTGCAGTTTGAGTCACATCTCATGCGAAGCCTGCCGATGTCGTTCTGGTGAGATTTCATCAATAATTTTTACATAGTTTCCCACCTGTTTACAATGCTTTCGCTCTGTGGGCCACCACAAAGGTGTCTTATTCCAGCCTTTTTCGCCCCGAATCCATGCGCTCGCTACATTTTATACCTACCCTGTATAGGCCAATTCGAAGCACGGTACTTACATCTTCATTCATAGATTTCAGATTTTCCCAATGCTTAATTTGCGTTGCGCGACACTCCGTTTCGTGCGTTAAAAATTTTTGCCACAATGGCTCAAACACCGGTTGTCAACAGTTTGTACACTCGACTGGTTTAAACGAACTCTGTCGTCGTTGTGTCTGGAGCACTTTCCCGATTTTCGGTTTTTGTGTCATGTAATAACAATACCTGGACAACGGTCAAAAAGCCTTTGTTGATGAACAGCATTGGCCTGTCCGGTGGCGGAGTGCTCCGAACATCTTGATCCTACTCCATCGGCCACTGATTCGAATCAGCATGAATGCAGACGACGTCGCAGTATCACATGGCGCGCGCGCAAAGCCGCTGGTGGCTGCGTGGCGGCGAAACGTCGCTTCTAGGTCCCAGTGTGGTGCCAATACCTTCATTTTAATAGACTTGCCTTTGTTTTCTTTCAACCTGGACCGTTCGCTTACTCTCCTTCTATTATCCCTGCTTTCCATCGGCTTTGCGCCCCTTCTGTTAGCCTATCACGTCAGCTAACACATTGCACACATCGACACGACTCGGGGAAAGATTTTCGACCACATGTTGATAAATTCAGCTTTTGATCAGTGTCAACTGTTTACTTTTTATCGTCCCTCTCTATACTATTTTGAAATTCGTTCATCCCAGTATCGTCACCGAATCACTCCGCTCCCATTAGTTACCTGCGCCTCTAGCCGTCATTTATTTCGCGTACACTTCACACAAGTTGTCACGCCGATTCTTTTTCTCAGGCATTTTTACTGATGCCCGCTTGTTCAGCGCTCTCTGTCATCAATTTGTTTGCTTACTCTACTTAACATCTATCTACTCAGTAGCCAACCTTCTACATTACTTGGATGCCGTTGCTCGTAATATTTTGTGGACCCCGCTCACTAAAAGAAGTGGTCGAATACATTGCTCATTTTCACATATGCATACCAGGTGAACCGGAAAATTTGGAATGTGCCTACTGTGGCGCGGCATTTCGCAGCGCTTGGGGCCTCATGCATCATTGCCACAATGACCACGGGTTGACAATCTACGCCTTGCCCTCTCCAACTCCTTCGCCGAACTCTTCCCACGGCACACACTTCTCATCTGACGCGGCGGGCCAGGTGTCTCGCATCATTAATCGCTCGAAAGATCAATCAGTCCCTAAGCCGGACCCTGACGAAAAATCGTCCATGAAATCACAGCCGCCAATTTCAAAAGCTTCTGCATCCGTATCAGATTGTAGTGGTCACGCAGATGATCAGGATGTGAGCGACTGGGAAGCGGACAGAGACGCGTATGACGTGAACGAAGAGACGCAGTCCGCCCCGGAAAAGGGCCACGAGGCGTCTGCTAGCGATTCCGTTTGTTCACGTGATAATGATGATGATGACGACGACAACCAAAACGAAGGCTCCATTGAGGCAGCAAACGACAAGGAAACCCATAGTCCCACGGAATCGCCACGTCATCGTCGGGGAGAATACGGTCGGCACGAAACCTTAGTAGATGACGAAGATGAGGATGGAGACCATAAATGAGCCTGGTAAGCCGATCTTGACCGCTCCAGTTATCTTGTCCTTTTACTAGGCAAACTGCATGCGATGACTAAACTGCTTGAGTAGTTTCGACCCTTCACAACACATCGTTGGGTTTTGAGGTTCTCGTGTGTTTCGATTACGACAAGCAATCACAACCAGGACCACGGTTTGATTTGAAGTAAGTCTCTGTCATCCGGATCACTTGGACCATCTGAATTGGAGCGTTTTCAGTATTGCACTCTCCCGGTATTCCACTCTACGGTTGATCTTGTCCTGAGTCGAGTAAGGGAAGAAAATTACAAAGTCTGAGAGTGATTTTACTAGATTTTTTTGCTATGTGTTAGCTACATCGCTTTTGAGCACTTTATTGGCTACCCCCGTTGGTCTCGCTATAGTTTTAATTGTAAGGTACCACAGCATTTCTGCTAAACAATTCAAGCGACTTAATCCGCCTTGTATATGGTATACTTCTTGACCGCACGGGATTAAGCCCAACTAAGTGGTCTGCTCATTTTGATACAACAGGATCGCTAAAGGTACTTATGTATTCAAGTTTTCCATAACAGTTCCCAACTAAGTTTTCAGGGTGTTAGATCAGTCGTCTGAGGGAGATGAAGAGGTTAAGAGTAGAATAAATGTGGTTATTTCACAAAATTTAAGTGCACTAATTCGGGTATCCGTGAAACCGTCTCCTGGGGACCTGCTACCACGCCCCATCTCATCTTGTTCCGGTGTGGCACAGGAACAAATAAGCCGCTGCCATATTAACTCATCCTTAGAGCCGTTGTCATGTATAGAGAGAAATAGGCTTTCTGAGCGGAACAGGCTATTTCTTCTTGCTTCAAGCCATTCAGCCCCTTTCAACATCCAACTCTTTTATCCGTCACTTTTTGTCATAAGTTGCGATATGTAGGCATTTCAATTGATCTCCTCAGTCGCAAGCACAATCAAAGTAGAACACACACAGTTATATAGATGGACAAATTAACAACACCAATCATGATGTCATACTCATGACCGAGGCAAACTGATTGCATCAAGCGTTTGTGTGCACATATATATATATATATATATATATATATATATATATATATATATATATATATATATATATACACGTGTTGTGTGTATGCGTGTACCCCATGCTGAGGGTGATGTTGCATTCATGATGCTTCTTCATCGCAGTTGGGATAAACCAACAAACACTTAAACTAGGTCTTTTTACTCTGGATAAATTTCATTCCACTTTAATTGGTTTGTTCTATCTGAATAATCTTCTAACTTCCACATGTTGCTTGCACCATTTGTGGTTATCTTCGTTAAGATGATTGCATTTGTTGCGTTTCTTGAGTAACTTTTTACATTTGTGCTTATCGCGGATCCGTTACTAACCAACTTATGTTATATGCTAATTTAGCGAAGACTTAAATCTGCCCAGCAATATGATTTAACAGATATCTTTTATTTGCTAATCTTATTTCAAGTGATTGGCTCTTGCTTAGTATTCCCTGTGTGGCTGCGGTGGATGTGCATGTTGTCAGGGTGCCTACCTGTCTATTACCCACTACCTCGTCCATCTGGCTCCAGGAGACAGTTGGTCGTTCCTGGAGGGGACGGGGTGCACGGTCCTCGTGGCCGTGCTAGGCTCGAAGAGTGATTCCATGCTCATTAACTCTTAGAGAAACTCAATTCCTAGAAGATAGATCGGAACGAAACGATGGTTACCTTCGATGTCAATCTTTTCTTCCCATCTGTAAACTTGCAGCTGGCAAAGGAAATCATCATAGAACGCCTGAACAACAGCGGTGAGACAATTGAGAATATAACGATCACAAAAATTTCGAGCTTCTCAAGCTCTGCTACACGGCTTACTTCAATTTAAACAGATATCTGCAAGCAAGTGAAGGGGGCACCGATGGCATTCCCAATATCAGGGCCGATTACTGAGTCCGTCTTGCAAAAGTTGGAAGAAGGCCTACTGTCAACAAATAACGCAAAGTTCTGGCGCCGTTACGTGGACTCTACATTTGTACCAGTAAAGTAGCAGTCGCACACCAACTACTCAACAATGCAATTGATGAGATTCATTTTACAATGGAGTTGGAGACAAAAAACAGGCTTTCATTCCTGGACATTTTGGTGATCCGAACATTGGACGGTGAATTTCAAACATCTGTTTACAGACAGACATACGGACCAAATTTTGAACTTCAACAGCAACTACCCAAAGTGCCACAAAATAAAGCTAACTTGTGTGTGGAAAGAGGCTGAAAATCTCCAGAAGCGTGGTCAAGCTGTACGACATACCACAGTGCCGCAGCCACATCTGGGTTAGGGAGTCATTTGATACCACATATATAGGTGTCACTGCGATGGCAGATGAACTGGGAGACACTAGAGCCTGGTCCGAATGCAGACACATACACAAAATTGTCTAATCGTCTTGAACTGATATGTGCCATATGTTGCCTACAGCAACTGGGTCGATTGGGGTCCACGTCATCTAAGGGTTCCGTAGGCACATTTTCACACGGGTGTGAATGTTAGTGCTCGCAAGCAGTGCTGCTAATATGCGCATTGAGATCAGCATCTACTTGTAGGAATCGTTCGCCACTGTCTGTTCGGCGTGCACGCAACCGCGACAGATTTCCAGGTGCTGTTCAGAGTCCAAAAGGCGACCAACCTAGACATCCACGTAACCAGCAACAATTACAGTCTAAGTAGTTCCTGGTGAGGATAGAAATCGTGCTTCATACCCTCCGAACTGCAGTCACTGGGGACATAAACAGAAGCATTGTAAATGCACGATATATTCAGACGGTTGTTATTCACCGCAATAGAGTCTCGAAGTCGAACAACACACATACGGCCGTTCACTGGCATCCAGTCGATTAGACTGCATTCTGCATGATTGCTGAAGGTGATAAGGACAGTAGAATAACCTCTATCTATTTACTTCGTATCACCAGAGGCGCTTAGAGTGTAATGGTTGTCAGCAGATTCGGAACCAGAAAGTGGAAGATTCCTCATGAGGCGGTTATGTTGTATATGTGTTTCGGAGACAGCACGCACCAATACCGAGGGAGTGTATAGTGAGAGTTAGTGCTGCTGTTGGCCGATCTGAAAAAGTGCCTGGACGCCAAATGAACCATTGAGAAATGCGAATCTCGGTTTGATAGCTTTATTTACGAGGTCCGTGACAGTCCCTTGCGCAATAAACAGGGGAGGAGAGAGCGGTACGGGTAAAGGAGAAGAAGTGTTGGCGACCGTGTCGTGCCGCCCATTCCGGAAGAGGGTTGTTGGTTGAGGTGCCCTACCCATAACCGTTCACTCAACAGTCTGACCCACAACGCGGTCAAGTATATGGAGTTTCACTTGAGTGGCCCCACCCAGAACCTTTGGCTCAACAGCTTGACCCACAATGTAGTGGGGTGCTAGTCCACCTGGAGAGCGTGATTGCGGTGTCTCATTAGGATCTGCTTGAGGCCGGTCTGATACAGCGTTTGAGGATCTAGGGCAATTCATGTGCGACCACAGGCAACCGCATGTGGGAATTGGCGGGTTTGCAGCTATTTCACTAAGAGTTGCCTGGACCGAAACGGGAGGTAGCAAACCATTCAGCACCGCGTGGTGCACTCCCACGATCAGAGACAATGCATGGCACTCGTGCTCTACGCCAGTCGAGCTGTGAGATACTCTAAAACCTGTTGTCTCCCATGGCTGTTTTGATGGAAGAGGACCATAAACCTTTACCAACCCACGAAGAGGATTTTTAGACTGAGTTAATCCGACCCCTAACCATTAATACTTTTGGTATGAGCAGTCCTGATGTCACCTAGAAGTTGTCACCGAGCGAAGCGCAATAGATCACGAAGGTAAGCAAACCACCGCATCAAGATAAAGTCCAGTCACCTCTCCATGGGATTTGTTTCTCCTTTATGTCGCTGTTGTACTGTGTCATACCAGTCTGAGACTTGCTTATGCGCACGAGATGAGTACCCACTTTCGTGACATACTATGATTTATTGATGATAACAATGCTTATTTTTCAAAAAGTTCACAATCCTTTAGACAGCTGCGCAACTGCAAAATTCAATTCTCGTAGGTAGGGTGCCTACCCGCGTGTAAGTTACTCTGCATACGATATCACAGCTTCTACATCAATAGGTTAGAAACAAATACCCTACAGTTCTCTAGCGTCGAACGTGACCTACGTCACTGGTTCAGGATGACGGGTTGTTCTGAGCAAACGGAAACCGCATTACAAGCTGGGAACCATCACGTAGAACAAGGAATCCAAGCAAGGCAACCAAAACTGAAGCTCGATGTTACTGATCTGGAGCAGACACAACGTTGGGTTTCCAAGTGCGTCATTGGAACGCGTAATCTGCCATAGGAAAAGAGGTGGAAATACGGGTATTGCTGATTATCTAATGAGCTGCTAATGATTACATTCTTCTGAGTCAATCAAATCATATGGGCCGCTATTTACTGCAGTATAGCAATAACAGCTAATTGAGACTATTCCTTGAAACTGGCAGAATAGTATAACTGCCCTGTGTTGCGAAATTCCTTTTTCTGTTTGCGTTTGTCTCCCTTGGTAAAACACCACATTCGGTCTGTTCCGCAACAATACAAATCATGTGTGAGAACGGGTGGAGAAACCACTCAGGCACTTACATGTCTTAGCAACCGCAGTGGAAACCATGATATAAAATACTCCCCAGGAGCCAGATCAGTCGAACAACGGGATAAGAAAGGTACTAGGCGAGTCAAACCTCGGTGAGGATGCCAAGATGCACTTCGCGCACTCAGCCTGATTCGAATCGTTACATCCATCAAATGAGGATCTTTCTACATTGTGATCTGTGAACATGCGAAGCCCCGAAACACACCGCGGTCCACACGTCTCTCCGGTGTCACTAGGCCAACTTGCATGCCAACCGATCATCGACAACGGTATTTGTGGGTGACTTCATGTCATTATTCCCAAGGGCCAATTCAT